ATTTTGGAGACAATCAGCCTTAGAGGGCTTAGATTTTAAGTAATTTGTTAATAGGAAATCAATCATTGCTAAATTAGAGAATATAAATAGGAACAGACAATATAAAGTTCACCTTCTACCAGTTTTACTGATTATCCATTGAAGAGCTGTATCTCTTAAAAATAGTTTAAATTCTCAAACTCTGCCAGGATATTTTAAGATTCACCTCTTATTTGTACATTGTTTGGCCGCTCCCTTCCCTTTTTTTTACAATTGTTCAGGATTCTGGTAGATTTCCATACACCTAAGGCACAGTGGTGGGATTCAATTTTTTTTACTACCGGTTCTGTGGGCATGGCTTGGTGGACGTGGCATGGCTTGGTGGGTGTGGCAGAGGAAGGATACTGTAAAATCTCCATTCCCACCCCACTCCAGGGGAAGGATTCTGTAAAATATTCATTCCCTCCCTACTCCAGAGGAAGGATACTGCAACATTCCCATTTCCTCCCGATCAGCTGGGACTTGGGTGGCAGAGAATAGATGGGGTGGGGCCAGTCAGAGGTAGTATTTACCGGTTCTCTGAACTACTCAAAATTTCTGCTACCAGTTCTCCAGAACTGGTCAGAACCTGTTGAATACCACCTCTGCTAAGGCACCCATTTCAGCTCCAAACCCTTCTTCTTCCTAACCTGACGTTTTCTTTAAATTAAAATCGTGAGAATACCTTTTTCCTCAGATTATGCAGAGATAAATTGCATTTGGGTTATTTTTCTTGAAGTTGAATTGAAATTCTCCATTCTGTAGCTCTGAATAATTTTATTATATAAACCAAGCTAAATGGGTGGGGAGGGTAGCTATAACATTAGTATGAAAGGGAAAGATAAAAAAAAATAAATCAGGAAGAATTAGTTCAGATATAACCTCAAGTGCCAGAGCCTGTCATTAATATTTCATTCTTTATGAAGGGCAATCTATAGTTTTCTTATTTTGTATACTTATAGATAGATGAAGAAGTTATGGTGATTCTATATGAACTAAGTATTTGAATTCAGTGGGTCTTAGGTCAATAACTGGATATAGGATTGCGACCTCATCTTGATTAAAAGCAGAACATTTGCAGAAGGAAGGCATGACTCAAAGAAGATGATAGGGTCGAGGAAAGCAAGGCTATGGGAAATTGAATGACAATACAGATTTATAAGAATCAATTCCTAAGTATCTGAAAGAAAGGACATTGTATTACCCTTAAATGGTTTAATACTGAAGTTATGATTGATCATATTCTGTTGGAATTGAGGTCATTTTGTTTTCCTGTCCTTCCTGAAGTAGGCTGTCCATTTTTCCCATTTATTTATTATGTATAATTATTGTAATGTTGTTGGGTAAATTCTTGAAGGCTTCCATGCCAATGCCAATCTTATATTGTTAATCCTATATGGAATCCTATATTCCACATGAACAGCATACATATTTCAGGAATGCAATGTGTGAGAGAGAGAGAGTGGGGGAAGGGAGAGACTGCTGAATGTTGTTGGAAGTTGCACAAGTTAGATAGAGAGATAGAGATAGAGATAGAGATAGAGATAGAGATAGAGATAGAGATGATAGATCAATCGATCGATCGATAAAAGATAGATAGATAGATAGATAGATAGATAGATAGATAGATAGAGATAGAGATGCTAGATAGATGATAGAAGATAGAGAGAGAGAGAGAGGGAGAGGGATAGGGATAGGGATAGGGATAGAGATAGAGATAGAGATAGAGATAGAGATGATAGATAGATAGATAGATAGATAGATAGATAGATAGATAGATAGATAGACAGACAGACAGACAGACAGACAGACAGACAGACAGACAGACAGACAGACAGACAGATGGATACTATATAGTTATTAGACTAGCTCTGCTGTTGACTACATGCTGCCTGATCACAAAATATTGATAATAAGTCAATTGAAAAAAATCTAGTTCCAGGCAACACTAGTAAAGATGGGACTTTTTCTTCCCTGTATCTCAAAGTCACATACAACGTACTTTATTCTGTATAGATTTTAGTTTCTCGATCCTGTTCTTTTCTTTCCTTATTGGGGAAACTCCTTTCAAAGTTGGTTGGCCTTTGAAAAAAAAAAGCTGCAGAATGACCATCTAGGCTGCCATCGTAAAAAAAATGAATTTCTTGAATGAATATGGTTTATCTGTAGTAGAAAAAAAGGGGACAATATTCTGTTGCAATCTTCCCATCAATTTAGTTGGTATGGCCCCAGATTCCTAGAAAGTGTCTCTTTGCTGGAGGGGTGCAAATGCTCAGTGATTAAGTCGCTGAGCTTGGCAGCTGGAAAGATGACAGCCTAGGTGTCAAGGTTCCAACTGACGAATCCAACCAAAGGCAAGCATGGCTGGGATGATCCAATCTCTTAATGCAAAACTTCAATGAGTACATCATATTGGCAAAAATGAGGGCAAAACCAGGTCTAACTATTTCCCACACAATCCTACATGGTTAAAGTTCAGTTTTTCCCTCTCCCCTATTAGGCCAGGTCACATTGTCCTGCTATTGTTGTGAGATGTCTTTTTCGGCTCTGATAAACACCTGCTGAAATGTCCTTTGTTCTCATGGCTGGCATCTTGATATCTGAAACTTCGTTCTATCTCCACCTTCCCTCCCCCCATAGTTTGTTGGCAAGCTGAAAAGTGGAAATAGTTGCCACAGCAAAAACCCCTTTTGAAGCTTGACACTAGGTTTGAGATCCATGTGTTGTGGAATGGGGTGAGCTCCCGTTACTGGCTCTAGCTCCTGCCTACCTAGCAGTTAGAAAGTATTCAAATATGAGCAGATAAATAAGTATAGCTTCAACTGGAAGTTTACTGTGTTCCATATTTTCATGCCAGCCACATGATAATGGAAATGTCTCTCAAACAATGCAGGCTCCCTTGGCTGAGGTTTGGAGATGAGCACTGCTCCCTTGAGTCAGTTACAACTGGATAACCTTTAAACCTTTATTTCTTTGCTATGAATGGGAATTCAGTGGAGGGAAAATGTTCTGGGCTGTAGTGGAGTGGGGTTCAGTGCTGTTAAGGTAAAAAGCTAATATATACTAAGACGGACCATATAGATCCCTATAGTTTTCTAAACATGAGATACTCACTGTGGTGCTAATGGACCTATTACTTTCAAAATAATCCTATATGATACAAAATAAAATCACACTTTAAGTAAGTGAGCTGTACTGTATATTCTTCTCCAGTAACATTGTATTGCTAACTAAGGCATACAAAACCTTTGCCAGACCAATTCTTGAATACAGTGTGCCTGGAATCCACACTGTATATCAGACATTAATACCATTGAGAGGGTCCAGAGGTATTTCATGAGAAGAGTCCTCCACTCCTCTACTCACAATAGAATTATTTAGGCCACCAGGCTTGAAATTTTGGACTTGCACAATCTGGAACTGCACCGCCTGTGGTCTGATCTAAGCATAGTACACAAAATTGTCTGCTACAACGTCTTACCTGTCAATGACTTCTTCAGCTTCAACCTCAATAATACACAGGCAAACAATCAATACAAACTCAAGATAAACCGTTCCAAACTCAATTGCAGAAAATACGACTTCAGAAACAGAGTGGTCAATGCCTGAAATGCTCTATCTGACTCCATTGTTTCATCCTCAAACCAGGGGTGAAATGCCCCCGGTTTGGACCGGATCACCCGATCCGGTAGCAATGGCGGCAGGTGGTTCAGAGAACTGGTAGCAAAAATCCCTGCACCCCCCCCATGCCCAGCCGCAAGGTCATCAGAGGCTTTTTTTTTTACTTTTAAAAGCATTTTTTCTACAACCTCTTCCGCAGAAAAAATGCTTTTAAAAGTTTTTTTTAAAAAAAAGCCTCTGATGAATGTGCGGCTCAGCTGGGATCGTCAGAGGCTTTTCAATGCATTTTTTTCTGCAACCTCTTTGGCCGAAGAGGTGGTAAAAAAAATGCTTTGAAAAGCCTCTGACGATCCCAGCTGTGTTGCCTGATCGGCAAAGAGGCTTTTCAAAGCATTTTTTAAAAAGCCTCTCTGACGATCCCAGCTGAGTTGCCTGATTGTCAGAGAGGCTTTTAAAAAAATGCTTTTAAAAGCCTCTCTGATGATCCCAGCTGAGTTGCTTGATCGTCAGAGAGGCTTTTAAAAGCATTTTTTTCTGCAACCTCTTGGCGAAGAGGTTGTAGAAAAAATGCTTTGAAAAGTTAAAAAAAAAGTTGGCCACGCCCACCCTGTCACATTACCCCCCCCACCAAGCCACGCCCACAGAACCGGTAGTAACAAATTTTACATTTCACCCCTGCCTCAAACCATCACAGCTTCAACCTTAAACGGTCCACCGTGGACCTCACCCCATTCCTAAAAGGTCCGTAAGGGGGCATGCATAAGCACACCAGCATGCCTATCATCCCTGTCCTACTGTCCCCATATATTTGTATTCATTTCCTTCCTTCCTTCATGTCCATGTTCATATTTATACCTGCTGTCTTGTACATATTTGATAAACTAATAAATAAATAAATACATATATACATACATTCTCTGAGAATTACTATTTTTTTTCTATTACAACATAAGCATTTTATTTGATTTTGTTTGGTAGGAAAAAAATGATAAAGCATTGAGGCTAAGATCTCTTCATCGTTATCAGTTCTTGGACAGAAATATAGGAAAGTCACTTTTCTTTTCATCTCCTGCTTTAATATTTGAAAGTTTTTTTCCCCTCTTCAGATCACCAGGGGAGGAACTTTTTCACATCTTTCAAAGAAAATACATTCCTCATTTATGAAAGAGAAACTGTTTACTATAGTGATACATTGATTTTGGAATATCTTACACAGCAGACGTGCCTATGACTAATGTATTACTCCTTTTTTTTGCCTAGGTATTTAAATCTTATATATTTTTTTATTATCTGTATCTTAATTTTATTATTTTTGTGTTTGTTTCAATACACTTTAAGAAGGAATCAAAGAATTCGCTTCCTATGGTTTGTACCTTTTAATGAAATTGCTTGTCACTCAGAAATGTTTCTGCTACAATATATTTTCCAGTCTTGAAGAAACATGTGATCTAATCAGAGTTCTAGTAGAATGTCTTAATAAAATGTTGCTATTCTACAAAAAACATATTAAACATCGGTTGTTAGGATTGGTGAATTTAGGAAGTTCATAAAGGAATACAATTTTTCATCCCATTTTCCATCATCTCGAATATCTTCTCCAGATGGCTGGGATACGGTGCTGAACAATATGGAAACCTGCAAACAGAAGAATTGTAATTTTATTTTCATGCTACTTCTATATTTTCTCAGTTGGCCCTGGAGTATAAAGAAAGGGAGATCTATATAGCAAACATATTAGTGTATAGTTAATTAAGAGTACTTCCATATCATTCCTCATTACAAAAACACCACAAGTTATTTACAATTGTTACAAAATTATTCCATAATCTAATAAAATGCGGACAGAATAAATGTAAAATGAAAATAATCATTCCAAACCATCAAATTCTGGTTGTTAGACATCTAACATTCAACAGGATTGTGGTCTTCTTGTAGTTATTACTATTTACTATTTACAATGATGAATTATAAAATATATTTTACCAAATTTTTCAACTGCCAAGGGAATCCTTTTTTCTGGATCTGTATTCAACAGAAAGGTGGGGGGGGGGAATCACTGTTAATTGAATCCTGCTGTTTCTGTCTCTTTATGTCCCTTTTCCCTCTCTTTTTCTTTAAAGTTACTCCTCATTTTATTTGTTCTTCCTTGTCTATCTTTTATGTACATTTTCACCCTTCCTTCTCATCCTCCTCCAGTGATATAATAACAGTTCTGATAATCTTCTCCTGATTTGGCTCCCGTCAAATGATTAAACAGCCCATTTGTTCAACCCAACCCAAATATTATATTATTTGGCTGGTAGAGCAGACACTGCCTTAATAAACAAGACATTATAACAAAAATTGCTTTAATAAAGCAAGAAATTATATTGTTTTATGAACCTGGTTAGTGATTATAAAAAAGTTTATAAACTATCTTTCGTGGGCCAGAAATGAGATACTGTTTATCAATGGAAGAATTCCTGGACAGATGGAAAGACCATTAAGTTGGAATGTAGGCCTTCTGTTGAGTGTCTGAAGCTATGTAGAGCAATATAACCATGGATCCAAGAATAATAAAATCTCAAAAAGTATTTTGCCTTCTATGGAAGAAGTAATTTCTCTCACTCTTCTACCTGGATTTTTTCCTATTAGCTCTAGCCATTAATTTTGTAGTTGGAAATTCAGCCTTTTGTTTGTTAAAAATAAGTTGTGGTGGAGGACTTAAAATCCAGACGTTTCTACACAAATTAGCCAAGTTACACACTGTTCACAAGATACTATTTCCAAAGCAAATGTTAAGTGGAACTTCTTTGGTTCACTTACACAAGTATTTGGCATATTTAATAACTACAGTATTGCACATTTATTTTATTAAGCACATTTGACCTTATTTACATTTAAATGGACTTATCACACAACTACCAATATTAATAAATGAAGTAAATAATACAAGCAGCCATATATTATATTACTTAAAGGTAAAGGTAAAGGTTCCCTTCGCACATATGTGCTAGTTGTTCCTGACTCGAGGTGGCGGTGCTCATCTCTGTTTCAAAGCTGAAGAGCCAGTGCTGTCCGAAGACATCTCCGTGGTCATGACTAAACACCAAAGGCGCACGGAACACTGTTACTTCCCACCAAAGGTGGTCCCTATTTTTCTACTTGCATTTTTTACATGCTTTTGAACTTCTAGGTTGGCAGAAGCTGGGACAAGTAACGGGAGCTCACCCCGTTATGCGGCACTAGGGATTCGAACTGCTGAACTGTTGACCTTTCAATCGACAAGCTCAGTGTCTTAGCCACTGAACCACCACATCCCTATTATTATATTACTTACAGGATAATAATATTCAGATACTGTGTGTACATCAAATCACCAGCCTACTTTTTTTACTGTCAACTTTTCTAAACTTAGGCATTTAGTTGTGTTATTTTTTTTCATATAAGTTACAAAAAAAGAAAAATGAAAGTGTTTTTTTTTTAAAAAAAAACCCTCACCAGAAGTTTGGCAAAATTAAATGTAAATTAATAAAGCAATCTATATAGTAATTTGCATGTTATCCATTTTTATCATTCTGTTTCAAATCAAAGCCTGTTTGATACATATTGTAGATGCACATAATTGTTAGTCAGATATTAAAAACATAATCTATATCCAAATTTTTACAAAGCACTTAATGGAAATGATAGGATGCATGAATGCACATAATATTTTCTGAAGGATATATTTGGGCAAACTGAACCAAAAATGCTTGTTATTTACATAAATCACAATTTATTAATCATTATAATGCTAGAAAAATATCTAAAAGTAATTTGCCATATTTACTAAAAGTGCTGCTTGGAATTTTTTTTTGTTTTTTTTTTTTGTTCTGCATTAAATTATAGTTTCAAAGGAAACCTTTGTATGGACTTTTAGTTAAATGTAGAAAAAATTAGAAGTGGGTTTATGGATTTGTTGATTGAAAACAAAAATATTATGGGATACAAGGGATCTTTATAATGTAATTTTAAAAAGTGAGGAAGGATAATATGTTTGTTTGTATTATTTTACTTATTTATTACATTTTTATGCCACTTTCTTCCCTTGTAAGGTGATTGTGGGCTGTTGCAAAGAAGATTTGGGTTGTTTAAAAGAAGACGATGTTTGTTGAAATGCACATAACGCTCTCCTCAAACCTTTCTCTTCCTTGCAGTTTGGAACAAATGATATTCACAAAATCAGGTCTGCTGAAATCGGCATTCTTCAGAGAATTGAAATTATGCCCTATTTTTTTTTCCATGTTAATGAGTTATTATGAAAAGTATGGTCAGCTAGTCTCTATCCTGCCCTCACCTCTCTGGTATGAGAGCCGTAAAATGCCCATTAATGATGGCCCAATGAAGTTTGTAAAGGCTTTTGATCAAAGTCCATAAATGCTTCTCTATTGTGAACTGCCTCAGACTTTCTTAAAGGATAGTTTTGGACACAGCATTAAACAATCAATGAACATGAAATAGACTCCAATCTGGATTTTGAAGTATGCTTACCAATTAGATGTCTTAAGAATTGAATAGTGTACAGTAAGAGATTTTTCCCTCACCAAAACCTATCCATTCGTCTGCAGTGAAAATCTCTGTCCTGCAGCTTACACCACAAACATTTCCCATATTGATGTCTAATGATGTGCGAAAGGCTAATAAGAAAAATAGTTTGGATCAATTTTGTTGCATTTTTAAAAAAATAGCAGGATAATTGTCACTCACCAGTCTTTCGGGATTTGCATTGTACTCTTTTAAAAAAAAAGGAAAAATATGATAACCCATTGTTCTAAAGTTGATTTACAGAATTCTAGTTTCCTCTTAATCCTCATCTGACACCTAGCCTAACTCAAAGTGTCAAATCAAGTCCGCCATCTCCTTAAATGGTACAGGAATCCAATTTGATAAAGGATCCTTGAAAAGAATAAGCTGGGCAGAACCATCTGCATTTTTCTGTGCAAAAAATGGTTTCTCTATATCTATTTTATCTGCACAGACAATAACAATTCACCAGAGTAATTAATGAGGGATTATTTCTGTTGTATTCCTTGTAACTTCAGTATGAAGTTCTTAAACAGTCTCTCTCTCTCCCTCCCTCCGTCTCCCTCTCCCCCACTCCCTCTCCCTCTGTCTCTGTCTCTGTCTCTGTCTCTCAATTTAAATTATGTTCCAAGCTCTGGACTGTATACTCTTAGGGGGGTATATAACTCACCCTACACACACACACATACACACACACAATTTTTTGATGAAATTGGATGGAACTGATTAACTCTTTTCTATTGTGTCCCTTGGTCAGAAAGATAAGCCCATAAATAACCAGGTAGATAGAGATAAAATGTTTTTTGTTTTTTTTTTAATATAAACATTCCATCTTCCCTTAAACAGTGTGTCGTCTGGGTACAAATATTTCTGTGCGATAACCATTAAGATTTACCATAGCATTCATTAATTACATTGATATTAATTCTCTGATCTTACAATTATAGTATTGAACATAGTAAACTTATTCACTTTTCCCTCTTAACGTATCTTCTAATAAGAATATAATAATAATAAGCATAAGCATAATAATCTTAATAGTCATAATACTACGGTAACAATCATCATATTATTTACATCTCTATCTTAACATATTTTCTACTCTTCTTTAATCTCCTTTTATTTCCAACTTCAATTTTTATTCTCTAACCATTGATAAAATAATTGCCATATCATATAATATTCAGTTTGTTTTTTCTCCTTAATTGCAAGCGTTAATCTGTTCATTTCTACACATTTCTAATATTTTCCTAATCACATTCTTATCAGTAGGGATCTCTTCACTTTTCCAATTTTGTGCAAATACAATTCTAGCTACAGTTAATACATGGATAATTAAATATGCGTTCTCTTTACTATAAGGTTCAGGTAAAATCCCCAAGAAAAGTATTTCTGGTTTTAAATCAGTGTGTGTTGCTTTATCATCTTTTCCAGCCATGTATGTATTTTTGTCCAGTATTTTTTTGCTTCTACACATGTCCATCACATATGATAATACGACCCAGGTATACGATGTTTTCATAATAGCCAATTTTCTTTAAAAATTGTAGTATTGTATCATAACATCATTCTACTATCAATGTCTGATACCAAATTTCTAATTTTGCAATTCCCCAACCAAACCAGTTTGAACAATCTGTCATTGAAAAAGGCCTTCAGATATTCTCTTTTGACCTCCAATGTATTTTCTTCCCAAGTAATGTGCCCTTTGACCTGAGAACTAATGTTCCATTTCTTTGGAAGACTATCTGACATTTATAGCAGTCTCCAGTTGGGACAAAAATGGTTAGCTTTTATCATTGGATCTAACAATTTTAAACACATTCTAAAAAGCTTGATTTAATGTAAAAAAAAGGTGTTGGGGATGAAACAGACTTTAATTCTGAAAAGAAAGATGCTGCTCTTTAGTAAAGGAACTGAAGTATTTTCTCTTGTCCTGCTTGTTCAATCAAGGATGAAATAGATTCTTCTTTCGCATCTAAATGCCTTTTGTATAAAGGTGGGAGATTTTATATTATTAAAGTTCAAAGCAAGAAAATGCTTTTGTTTCTTCTGTATCAAGGCTTCTGACTTTTCTTTTCCATTAATTCATACAATCAGTGCAAAGAGGACAACGTGAATTTCTAAAGGTTATTGGAAAAAATATATATTCTATGAAACCAAATGTAGATGTTGGGTAAACAGATAATAGCTGAATCTCCTTTTCATCACACTTGCTGTATTCAGTGATAGAAAGTAAATTTCAGATATTATGTTACTAATCCTAGAAATCAGCTACTATTACATTAACATCAGAACCAGGGATGAAATTCAGCAGGTTCTGACAGGTTCTGGAGAACCGGTAGCGGAAATTTTGAGCAGTTCGGAGAACCGGCAAATACCACCTCTGGCTGACCCCAGAGTGGGGTGGGAATGGAGATTTTGCAATATCCTTTCCCCAGGAGTGGGGAGGGAATGGGGATTTTGCAGTATCCTTCCCCTGCCACACCCACCAAGCCATGCCCACCAAACCACACCATGCCCACCAAGCCACGCCGACAGAACAGGCAGTAAAAAAAAATGGATTTCACCACTGTTCAGAACCAATTATCAAGCATTTTGCACAATCTCTATGGAGATTCTCAGTCATCCAGGTCATGAATGTCCCGTTACCTTTTGAAAAAGTATCTTTGGGACATTTTGTGCAATGGACTAGAATGGCCATCTACAGTATTTAAGAGCAGGTTACTATCTAAAATATGCTATCTTCCCAATATAATATCTGAAACAAACCTTTGATTATGCTTCAGACATACAATTCAATAGAACTGTTTGTCTCCCCAACCATATTTCATATATGAAGTTCCAAAAGGCTTCCTAAGTGTAGAACATTGTAAAGTGATTATTATATCTGCCTCCACAATCATTTAGTCCATTGTCCGAAGACAAATGTCAACTGATGCCTAAATAGTGGTATGAACATTTTGAGAGATAATTGCTGGCAAAGAATGGTGTTCAGGAAGAATAGCAATTGCACTTAGACTTACTGTATATACCACTTCAAAGTTCTTTACAGCCCTCTCTAAGTGGTTTACAGTGTTAAAACTGCCCAGAATATCATTAGACTCCAGCTACCAGCCCTGGACGACATCTTCGAATCTCGCTGTTTGAGAAAATTGCATAACATTCTCAGAGACTCTTCCCATCCTGCTTACAATCTTTTTGGACTGTTGCCTTCTGGCAGAAGATACAGAACAATTAAAACTCGGACCACACATTTTCTGAATAGTTTTTATCTCAGAGCTATAATTGCACTCAACAGTGAACTAAAGGGCCACCATCAGTGAGCTGTTGGATAGTATTACTTGGTCTGTTGTGTGGATGTTTGGGTGGTTTAGGGGTGGGAAATTGTGGTGGATAGGAGTGTGTTTGGGGATTGTTGTGTGTGTTGGACCTGGTCTTTGGGTGTTAGGTGAATTTAGTTGTATGGGTATACTGTGTATACATGTACAATGACAATAAAGTTATTTATTTATTACAGTGTCAGCCTATTACCCCCAACAATCTGGGTCCTCATTTTACCAATCTTGGAAGGATGGAAGGCTGAGTCAACCTTGAGCCTGCTGAGATTCGAACGGCCAAATTGCAGGCAGCCGGCAGTCAGCAGAAGTAGCCTGCAGTACTGTGTTCTAACCACTGTGCAACCAGGGCTCAAGAAACACATTGGATGGGTAGCGGTGAATTCCTTCATCTTCTGCAACAGCAGATTCATTTTGGCTGACTTTCCTCACATCATTACATATATTTAATGGGTGCAAGTACAGAATTGTATGCCTAACAGTGCTGATACACTCAGAAGTCCCATTATAGCAGATAATTATTTTATAGCAGCCACTTCAATGCATACTGTATCTGGTATAAACTCAAATTGCCTTAAGAATGTTCTGGAAATCTCTGTAAAGGCCCTGAACTGCCATTGGAATCTATTTTCTATTTAAAACTTCCACTGGTACTATATGGCTGAAATACTTTAAATTTAAAAGATGGATGGATGGATGGAAGGATGGATGGATGGAGAGACAGATAAATAAATAAATACACACACAATTGCATAACTATTAATATCAAGGGCCAAAATTAGGTAAGAGTTCTTTGAAATTGCATAATTTACCTCTTAATTAATTTTGGATCCAAGGATATAATTTTGTTGATGGATGCCTTTACGCAAGTAAAGTAGACTCTTAATAACTCTTACTTTCTTATCATAGCAGCTTCAAAACCTTAATGAGCTGTCGAGGACAATCTGGGACAGAGGGATGAGATTCAAAAGAAGTTCCATTGTGCTAGCAGCAGTGGTGATGCAGCTGTTTGAATAGATCACATCTGATTAAATTTCACAGAAGCCTACCTTTATCAGTAAAGAAGACATTCATTTAAAAATCAGCATTGTAATTCCACATGTACAGTTATCTTTTGCAATTTATAGTAACTATCAGCCTACACATTTCCGCCCTTTTTATCCTTCTGATAAAAAGTAAAAATCATGGAATTGTTTCCCTACTGAGGTAAAGTCGTTTTCTCACAGTCTAAATCACAGAGAGGAAGGCAGAGAAAGAAATTTAAAGGAGATACCCAGCAATCCCTGTCAGAATATTCATGACTGGGAAGACATGGTAACAAGGTCAGCCAATGAATTGGCATGGCAACAGATCAGCCAATGGGAACTGTTTAGAAACTGAAACTGGAAGGAGTCTGGGCGTGGCTTAGGCTTAGTTTAACTGCTCTGTATAGAGATTCTCTTTGTCTGTATTAAGGTCTGGATCTGTGCTGAGAAATAAAGAAGTCTGGGCTTCTCTGCTCTGCTGAATTGAAACTAAGAACTGTTCCCTCCTCTGCCTGTAACTTCTACCATGTTGGAAGAATCAGCTCTTGGTATTGTAAATTTACTTCATGTATTATTAAGTATATAAAGAAGTTAATGAATCCTGCTGAATCAGTTTGCCTGTGCGTGCTTTCTGGATTTGATTTTGCAAGAAACTCTGACAATCTCCATGTCTATTTTTGTTATATTTTATCATATCCAGGAATCAGTATTCCATGTTACATAAGCAGAGTCAGCTTAAATACATGTTTTGGGGAATAGAAAGCTTGTGATATTTATGTGGGTGTCATGTTCCTCAGCCCTTTTACATCAGTTCTCAACATGAGAAATTGGAGAAAGAGTTTTGTAGGTTTCTTTTACTGATATACTATACAGATGGATTTTGTTCTTTAACATTTATTTTCCTTCATCATGGACCCTTTTCCTAGACAATCCATTTATTTCTAATTATATAATGGTTGACTTCCCAATTTCCTTTCCTCTGTTTTTCAATTACTTCATTTCTTCTTTAACCCTCCAGCAGTTTCTTATCTCAAAACACAGATGGCTGATATAAGATGCTTCTGTTTTAGACTCTGGAAACCTTACTGGTTTGGGTGGGATAAAGCTATGAAACGGTTGGCTGAAAGTCCCTAGAAAATACCCCCCGTGTGCATAGCTTGGCACAAATATATTTCCCCATCATTGTCAGTTCAAGATGGCTTTTGTCTTGTTTTTTGAATGGAGAACAGAACTTAGCCAGGTGTGTTTGTAAGTTTCTAAGTTTGTAAAACAGGTCAACCTCTAGGGTCATAAATACAAGCACATAAACTAGCCACAGATGCACCATCTGCTCCTAAATCTCCAAAGGTCGCCAACAATACTCTTATTCATTTCAGAGACTCTGAATTAGTCACTTTTGAAGTTTCCGTTTCCGGTATACAGATATATGGCAGTACAATTTATTATCTTTGCCAGATGCTAACATGCCACTTCCTATTCCATAATTCAGTTGTCAAATCCAAGCAGGAAAAGGAGGAACATAAGGATTTTCAATTACAGGATGGAATCTCAATGGTTTCCTTCTTTCTTCAGCGGTGGTCTGTTTCTGCAATTCTGAGAAAGTAAAAGATGCAGTTTACCAAAGAACAGCAATGGGAAAATGCAAATAAATTCAAACTTGCAACCGTAAAAAAATTAAGAATAAAACAGGAATGAGATATATGATACTAAATGGCAATCTCTTTATTTTCAGCTGGTAATTTTCTGCTCCAGCACTCTTCAAATAATAGAAACTCATGAGGCACAAAAACAAATAACTTGGTGAAGATTATCTATCAGATTTGGGCAGACAGATAAATGTCAGAGCATAAGCATATGTACACAACTGTAGGTATATAACCTTTAACTCCGAGACTCCATGGAGATGACAGCAGGGTCAAGTGGAATTGTCTACTTCTTCAGATTCTGATCACAAAAACAAAACAACATCACATTTCTCTGCCTCATCCTACTTCAACACAATCACACTCAGATGGTACCCACACAATCACTGACTGGCACATCTGAGTCTTTCCACTCAAGCTACATAGTAGTTCTTGGACTACTATTGTTAAAGAAAACACTCAGATCACTAATTTTAATCTACTGCAGGTTTCAAATGGACCTTAGGTGAGAAGTATGCATGGATTGTGAGTCTTCCATAGTCAGTAAAATCCAAAATTTAACTGCAGGTAAAAATATATAGATTTTTTATTTATTTGGTTTACCATCATTTCCAACAAAAAAGATACTCCTGGAGGTTTACGATATAAAATCTTTAAAAATAATAAGCATAAATAAATATAAAGTGGTAAGTGCAATCATAATTCATTTCCCTAAGTCCCTCCAATTTGTTCGTTAGTTTGTGTATGTGTGTGTATTCTTTATCAGTTTCCAGAAAAATTTTGAAGGAGAAAGCATCTATAACAGGGATCTGCAACCTTAAACATTCAAAGAGCCATTTGGACCTGTTTCCCACAGAAAAGAAAACACCAGGAGCCACAAAAACCTTCCCGTGCCTGACTATTTCTTGAGCAGCCACAAAACTAGCATATGTAGTTGAATTGAATATTCTGTTTTCTTCTGAAACTTTTCTTTTCTTGGATTTATCTATGGTTGGCCTACCGGGGGTTGAAAAGCTCAATATTTTGCGTGCCAGCGGTTTTCACACATTGGCGGTTGTGATGTATATTTTGAGTGACAGGGAGCTGCAGCAGAGGGATGAAAGAGCCACATGCGGCTCCAGAGCCGCAGGTTGCTGACCCCTGGTCTATAACTTAGAGGCTTCTGCAGAGAAATGTTGCTTGTAATTCCTACTTGTGTTTAAGCAAAGGAAGAGTTCAGTTAAAATTGATGATAATTTCAGTATTCCTGAGGCCAGTGCATCACAAAGCTAAAAAAGGTAAATTGTTTAAGAGTATAAGATCAGTTCAATAGCATAAATGCATCAAATCACCTTTGAATTAAATGTGTACAGTTCACATTTGTATGTTCACAATTCACATATATATTCAAGTGGTATCCTTGAATGTGCTTGTTTTTTTATGATCCAAATAGAAGCAGGACTGATTTGAAGATTCCAAATTGATTTGCATGTTGGAAACAGGTAAATGTTCTGTTTCCTAATAGATAAGGGAACAATCACACTTGAACTAAACTGGCAGACTGATTATTTTTTCAGTCAATTGTACTTTTATCATTTATCTCCTAAGCTCTTATACAAAGATATCTTCTTTCTCTCACTCTTTCTCAATGTTCAGTTTTCACAACTCTGTAAAACCTGAGAGGACCATGCCTTTAATTATTCTTCTCTTTGTTGTCATTGAAGTGTTCTTATTCTTTGTGATATTGACTAAATTTTTCATTGCCTTCCTCCTTAAGATAACAATCGCTTTACAATCCTTAGATCTTCCCCAGCATTCATTTTCTCCATTAACTCTTGGGAAACACCCATTCCTTTATATGATAGTAAAACAAAAACTTCCAAAGGACAAAATGTGTCTTATTCAGCAAATAACTGAAAAGATGTGAAATCCTTCACGTAAGAAGCAATACAGTCACTAGATCTGTGGAACAGGTAGAAGCTTAATTATCACTGACAATTGTTGTCAAGTGTTGAATTGGGGGTAGTTACTGGATACTAGAGTTCTTAAAAGAACTGTTGTAGTTTAATTGCTGCCTCTGTAGTTTTTGACCATGAGGGATGCAATATCCAGTTTGGTTGCCATGTGTATAGACTTTTAGCCATACTGTTAAGACAGAAGGTTGTCTGGAGTATATCATTATGGCACCTGGGATAGTCTCACCATGGCCACACCAGAAACATTGAGATGGCTAGCTTCCTTAGATTTTGAATTATAACATGTATTCTATTGCAATTCTATGGCTCTATATTATAATAATAATAATAATAATAATAATAATAATAATAATAATAATAATAATAATAATAATAATAATAATAATTTTATTTCTATACCGCCCTTCTCCCGAAGGACTCAGGGCGGTGTTACAGCCTGTTTAAAAACACAAACAAAACAACAATATAAAATTTAAAATAATTAAATAAAGTGGCTCAGATTTAAAACCCCAATAAATTTAAATATCCCAATTTAAAAACTATTGTGTTGTTAGTCCGGCCTGGCGGAATAATAGGGTCTTCAGTGCGCAGCGAAACGCCCGGAGGTCGGAGATCTTACGAATTTCCGGGGGGCAGTTCGTTCCACAGGGCTGGGGCTCCCACAGAGAAGGCCCTCCCCCTGGGCGTCGCCAGTCGACATAACTTGGTTGACGGCACCCTGAGGAGACCCTCCCTGTGGGAACGGACTGGTCGGTGGGAGGCTATTGGTGGCAGAAGACGGTCTCGGAGGTACCCGGGTCCTATGCCATGGAGTGCTTTAAAGGTGGTAACTAACACCTTGAATCGCACCCGGAAGACCACTGGGAGCCAGTGCAGCTCGCGCAGGAGGGGTGTCACATGGGCACAACGAGTTGCGCCCATAACCACCCACGCGGCTGCATTCTGGACCAGTTGGAGCCTCCGAGTGCTCTTCAAGGGGAGCCCCATGTAGAGAGCATTACAATAGTCCAACCGGGAAGTAACAAGGGCATGAGTGACCGTGCGTAGGGCGTCCCGATCCAGAAAGGGCTGCAACTGGTGAATCAGGCGAACCTGATAAAAGGCCCCCCTGGCCACGGCCGTCATATGCTCTTCTAAAGACAGCCGTGCATCCAGAAGGACACCCAGATTGCGAGCCCTCTCTGTGGGGGGCAGAGATTCACCCCCAATAGTTAGCGATGGCACCTGCTGATTATATCGGGGCGCCGGAAGCCACAGCCACTCGGTCTTGGAGGGTT